TCTTGGGGTATCATATACAGACCACGTCTAAGTGTACTGATACCCAATTGTGAAATTTCAATACCATCAATTGTGATTTTTCCAGTGTAATCATTGATAATTCTAAATAGGGATGATACTAGTGTACTCTTTCCAGACCCGGTTCGTCCAACAACACCAACGTTCTGTCCTGGTTCTACATCCAAGGTTAAATTTTTGATGACTAAATGGTCAGGCTTAGATGGATATGCAATTGACAAGTTTTCCAATTGAACTGCACCTTTAGCAGGCCAATCCCCCTTTGGATCAGTAGGTAACAATGCAGCTGGTTCTTTTGGTAAATCGAGAGTGTAGTGTAACAATCTTTCAATACTGTTAAATTCTGCTTCAAATACACCCAAAAAGGTTAAAAGGCCGCTAACGGCTTGTGAAATATCTGACGTGTAAGCCAAAGCCAACCCAACCGCTGAAGCTTCTGTGCCAACAAGCATGACAGTCACAGTGATAAAAACTGATAATAAACTGAGTCGTAAATTCAACCAGATAGATAGCGAAGAGTACATAAAGCTGGGAACGAGTGCTAAATCAATGAGTTCTTGTTGGCGTTTGATCCAGATCGAGGTTGAATTATATGCACGAATAGTTGCCAGACCGGTAAATGTTTCACTGGTCCATGAATCAAGAGGAGAACGACTAATGGCAGTCAATCGCTTCAATTCAAGATTCGCTGGTTTGTAAAGATAGAAGAGGAAGTAACATGGAATTGACAGAAGGAAAAAGACACCTAAAATAAATTACATAGATTATAACATACCAACCAAATAAATACTTGCTTGACTGACTAAAATGACAAGTACCAAACATCCAATGATGTTACCAATCAAATTGAGAAAGACAGTTGGGACAGAAAAATCCAATTGCATAACATCTGTACTCATTCTGTTAATCATTCTTCCCACAGGGTTGGCATCAAAAAATGCAACCGGTGCTCGAAGCAAGCCTTTTAGAGCACCATCGTGTAGATATTTCACCAGTTTAATGCCAATTAAAATAGCAACCAAGAATAGAATTACTACGATTAAAAATGTATAACTTACAAAATGCAAGTACGTTGAAAGCACCAATGGTGGAGTACCACACTAAATAAAAACTATCACCAGAATTGGTACTACTGGACCAGTGAGCCAACCAAAGCGGACTGGCGATACTTGCTCCAAGTTGAGAAAGGGCAGCTAGGATACTGATTATAATTAATGGAACCCCAATAGCCTTGGCAACTCTATTATAGGTTTCAAAATTGATACCACCCTTGTTCTTCTCTTCTTCCTCAAATGGACCATTAGACTCTTCTTTCTTTTCGGACGCTGATTCAGTCACCACCTTCGTCTCTTCATCTTCACTTTGATGTTCAGAATCTGCATGTTCATCGTAATTAGAGATTAGAGAAGAAAGACGACTGTTTTCATTCTTTCTCAAATCTTCATAAGTTCCTGATTCAATTATTGAACCTTCGTCAATAACCATAACTTCATCCAACTGAGGTAAAAGTGAAAGATTATGGGTAGCCAAAATCACTGTTTTGTTTTCAAGTAACTGAAGTATTCCATTGTTGAAGACTTCTTTTGACACCTTTGAATCTAATGCGGCAAGTGGACAGTCAAGGAAGTAAATATCAGAGTCTGAGTAAAAAGCTCTTGCTAAAGCAACTCGCGCTTTTTGACCACCAGATAAAGAAATTCCGTTTTCACCTAGTTGCGTTTTCACTCCATCTGGTAAAATTTCTAAATCTCTAGTCATTCCAGCACTCTTTATAGCCAAATCAAGTCGTTCTGTGTCTAATTCTTGTCCAAACAAAATGTTTTGCTCAACAGTACCTGCCATAATCCAAGGTTTTTGGGAGCAATATGCGATTTTTCCTTTAATATTAACCTTTAATGAGACTCGACAAAATATTTACCTCTCCAGACACTAATTGCATTTCTCTTAACAAAGCAGAGAATAGTGAACTTTTACCCATCCCAACAGTACCAATCAGTCCAATTGTTGTTCCAGGTTTAATATCTAACGATACGTTCTTCAATTGGAAACTTTCAGACTCTTCATTGTCAGATTCCTTAATATCCTTCTTATCATCTAGTGATTTCGATTCTTTTTCCTCTTCAGCTTGTGGTTTTGGGGCTGCTTCATCATCGGAGACTATCCATTTCCATGTAGCACCTTTTGTACATACTGATCCAACATTTTCTTTGTCATCGTCAATTGATATATCAAGTTCTTCAGCCTCCAAAATGCTAGCCACACGTCTCAAGGAAATAATTCCTTGGGAAACTGCCATAATAACATTATAAATCAAATGTAATGGTTGTGTCAATAAACCAAAAAATGAGATCGAAGGGAATAAGACAGCAGGATCCATAGGGTTTGACAAACTGTAGATCGAAAATGTAACAACGGCAACAATGGTTGGAACAGATCCAATCAATGCTAACAAAATTCAAAATATAAATCAACTTACATTGGGTTACTCCTAGTGCTGTCAACACCTTCCTCAAAGCCGCAATTTGAACACTACGAGCATCCAAAGCCTTTTTTTCGAAGAAATCTTCCATCACCCGAAACTTGACCATTCGAATTCCCATCAACATATCACGAATAGTAGATAAACGATGATCTTGAGCACCAATAAACTCCCCAATAAACTTGCCGACAATCGGACCGGTTAGCACTGATATTAACCCACTGAATAGCACCACTCCAATCCCATACCATAAACTGTGTCCGATGTACCGGAATAAAAAGTAAAGTGTAAAAGTAATTGTCACAGGAATGATAATAACTTGAGCTAGAGAGGTAAACAAAGTAGAAATTTGACGGATATCATTATTAATCATTGTCATGATTTTTCCTTCTGGAAATTCCTAAATATTAAAACCAATTGATAATACAGCTCTAGATTTTGCAGACAATTTAAAACTTTTGACGTAGATTGCGTAGGACAACAAAGATTGTAGATATTGATCAATTCTTCTATTGATTGTCAAATTCAATGCAGTAGTTAATGCTACGAGAACTTGTGCAACAAATACAATTGCAGTCAAAGTGTATCCATTCTGAATTAAATGTACAGACATATCTTTCTTGTTGACAAAATCAATCATCTATACAGATTATGCTAAAAATAATGTACCATGGACATAAAATTAGGAATGGCAAGAGAGACACCTTCAGTTAATACTAAGGCTAATGCAGATCCCACACTAGAAATATTAACTATAAACATATTACAGCGGAACCCATATCAGACTAAGTAAAAAGTACTTTAATTGGGGTTTCTTTCCGGCTTCTTGTAATTCAAAGAATTTGGCCATTTCTTTTGAAATTGTATCTGATCTATTCTTGTCATCCAAAGCATATAAATCCTAGAAATTAATTAAAAATTACACATACATCACTCGTTAAAGGACGTTTTGTGCCCAACTTGACAAGTGGGGTTAACCAAGAAATAGTCAAGTAAGAGAACGGGTCAGTCTTAAGTTGCTGGTTTTCAGTGGACATTGTAACTTGTATTCTATGTGTCTTGTGTGTCTTTTATACTAATTTATTTGGGGTTCTGTACTCCGAGAAAAAGCAATGCTTGGAGTGGCGTTGCTTCCCAAAGAGGATTGGATTGAATGCCAAGGAAGTTTTTTAGATACAATGTCAGTAATTGCTGTATGAGAGACTGAATACTCGATAGTCTTGGTTCGTCTCGTTAACGTGATCATTACTGGATTGTAAAGTTCTTATGAAACATATAAACAACCTGTGAGACACAAACACCCCTTGAAAACACGGTCAATGATTTCGTTATTTAATTTCCAAAAATGAAATGAAGAACCAGCTTTTGAAATGTTTCCAATTGGAACAAAATACAGTGAGCTGAAACTACTTTATTAAGTACAAAACAAACATTTTTAAACAATAAATAACTATGTACTACCTGCCGTAGACGGGTCTTTCTATTTGTATTTAGTTGTCCGTTTCACGAAAATGTGTTGACTTCGACTTGAAATGCGTTGTGTTTCAAAATTTTAATGTACAGTTGTATCCGACAAATGCAACATGTTAAGTAGTAATTTGGTTGCTAATATCGAACTGCTTACAGATTTACCAATCTAAAGCAAGAATTTTAAAACATTAATATGACAATGAATAGCGCCTACATTACAGTTCAAATAAAATGCGTTGCACTCGGGTTTTCAACACAGTTCCCCTTTTTACTACGTAAGATATTGACGGAATTATAGATATGGCACCCACATTCTTAGCGAGACTTGATTCAGTATTCCCCAAAAGCAAACCAAACAACACCATTTCGTATTGTCGAATAATATTGGTGAAAATATAGCACTTCCATCAATAAAGAAAATTATGGATAGTTTAGTCAAGGGATGGGTGAGTTTGAATTAAACTCTTTTGATCCGATTGGGATGTTCTCAGAGTATTTATTAGACAGAACGTGTACTAGTAGAGTCAGTAATTCGGATGTTGGACTTTATAGTCACAGACCATGGAACATGATGTTCACAAGAAACGGAATGGAAGTTCTCCTGTTCATTTTTCACAACATTTTGAGATAGTTCTGAAGAAGACTGTCAAGAAGCTATTAACTGATAAATGGATACGAAATTCTTGACCTGTTTTATAAGTTATTAGCTAGTAAAGTACATTAGAATAGGTGTGAACAGATGAATTTTAAAGAAAAAAGGAGAAGCCAAATGAAATAGAAATGCCAAATATTAGATCAACAGTGGTAACTGTGGTTTGTTTAAGCTATTACGAGTGTTGCGTAAAATCAAAGAATGATGTTTAGATTTGATGTTAATTAGTAGTTCAATTCGTAATGGGAAGAATGATGAGCTATAAACCGAAAATCATACTTAGATTCAGTTTTTCATCTTTTGGAAGCTTTTTAAATCTTCAAAGTATGGATTCTCAACTTGATTTTGAAATTTCTAAAAGGGAAAAAAAGAAAAAGTAAATGCCCACTTCGTGGATTGAACACGAGACCTTTTGTTTACGAGACAAACGCTCTACCACTGAGCTAAACGGGCACTGGAAAATTTTTTCAAAATTCATATATATAACAACATTACTTTAAATTAACAAACAGTATGGTTTTTTTGAAGAGTTTTCATTTTTCGTAACCAAAAGCACTCTGAAAGTATAAACTCTTTCGAAAATTCATTTTCACAATTGCGAAAGTTTATTGACCATTCCAATTCAAGTGGAAATTTTCATTGTAGATTATATTTCGCGAATACTGTAATAGGACTCGTCTGTGGATGACCACATTACATATCATACTCAACTGAATTTCATTAGTGCTAGGTGTGAATCAGTTCGTAATGATATGCGTTGATGGTATAAGTCTCTTGTACATATCAAATTCTACAGTTAGAAATGACAAATTAACTATAGAATCACCAAAAGGAAGTAAGAATTTGATAATTTTATTAAGAATTAACCGAAATAGTACTTGTCACATCCGTTTTCGAAGGAGTAGATACCCTGCACTACCGCACGTTTAGTAAGTGATGTAGAATCAAATGCTCTGGCTGAACAATCCCCAATTAAATTAACCTTACACGCTCCCCATCACAGTTCCAAATTATATCATCATCACCACACCACTTACCATATGTAGAACATGCTGCCCAAGTACCAGAATTGTTGGTGTATTTGCATTGACGTC